CATGCCTATGGACAAAAGCTATGAATTTACACTGGTCTCATTTATTGTGACATACCTTTAAGCAACAGTAACTGCATAAACTATATTGAAATGGTCTTGTATTTGTTTTTAAATAAAAGACCACTGTCCCTATAGGAATGCTTTCATCCCTCTAGCCTGTGCTTTTACGCTAATAAAACTTAACAAGGTCCTACCATTTTCCCTTTTATTAGAATACACCTAAATATTCTTGATCATCTACACCTATGAAGAGTCATTTGAATGATCACCCATGAAGTACCTTATAGACTTGTTCATAAAAAAAACATAATCTCTCCTGTTATGTAAAAGATTAAAAGCTTCAAAATTAATTTCTGGTGTTAAAAGTTGTATCTCCCATGACACTAAAAGTTAGTACAGCAGTGGCTGCCCTACTATAAGACTGTGCACTTAGTCCTAAGAACTTGAACTGTAATGCAGAGAGCCAGGAACTGCAATCTCATATAAGAAATAATCCTTATAAATAATCAGAGCTGCAGGAACTTTTATTTCTCTGCCCAAGTAGCTTCATTTCCTGAATGTTCTACTATAGAAAGTCTGTAGAGGCCTGCGTCTTTATTCACAGGTCTTTGATCCCTGACAATCAACTGAAAAACCATCAAAATACAAACTGCTTTGAAATGTCTCACAGGTATATTTACAAGTACAAGTGCTTTCTCAGTTTTATTCTTTCTTTATTAAGCAAGTGATACTGTCTGGAAAAGACACATGGTCCTGTCCTGCCTTTGCCACTGCAGAACTGCAAAAGAAACATTTTGTGGAGTTTTTTTCTGGAAAAAAAAAACAAAAACCAAGAGTACCTCTGTGTTTCCTAAATTGGATCACAGTTCATCTTTTTCTCATTGGGTTTATGTTTATTCTCTGACACCAGAATGATCTCTAATGTGATAGCTTACTCTGTAGAATAACAAGGGAAACAGACTCCTAAGAAACAGTTTCTTCTTCCTGAAAACTACTAAGGAATGAGAAATCAGAAAATATTTTATATCTTTCAAATGGAGAATACTATAGATTTTTAGAGCAGCAAGAATGATTACATATTATCACTATACTTACACACACACACACAAAAGAGGCTTTCATTAATTCTTCTGCACATTAGAAAGGAATTTCACTGTTTATTAGAGAACCAAATTATTCTTAGAAGACTATATAATTTCACAGATAAAAAGGTACTTACTCATTCTTCAATAATTGTGATCAAAATGTACATCTGCACTGCAAACATATATAAGTCCTGCTCTTTGATGGTGGCAAATATTTTCTTCCTAGAGGACGCATCTGTACATTACCATCTTTTATGCTTAGCACATAACTATGTAAGACAAAGCATAGTCAGTGCTACTTTAGTTTAAACTGTATAATACTGGTGTTGGGTAACAGGAAAGGACTAGGAGAGGACAATGGGAAGGGAATGTTCCTGTGGAGCACCTAGCTGGAAGCCCTGCGCATCCCTGTAACTGCACAGTCTTTGGTGAAGGTACGCATAAACTTCTAGGTGGGTGCCACAAACCATAAATCAGTGACAGTCCATGAAAGTAATTGTAGCTCCAAATACGAAAATTGGCTCCAACCTGGCAATCTCATTACAACTTTTTCTTGTGGCCCATGATCCATTTGTTCTTCACACGGACAGGGGCATTTTTCTGCATCTGCCAGACATCAGCAGTCAGTCTCAGGACCAATATGAAAGGTCAGGCCCTACCAATGTGAGATCAAAGAGTCTTTTCAACAGAGGGTGGGAAGGACTACTTTGATCTCAGAAACATAAGTTTTGCGGGGAAAACACAGCAACAGGTATGCTTACTTTCTGATTAAGAGTAATTCTGAAATCACCTGGGGAATTAACTCTGCATGGATGCACTAGGAATGTCATGCAAGGAGGAAATCCACCTTATCCTGGCCTAGCTACTTCTCTGTTTTTCTGTTGGAAGCAACTGCAATCCAGTTTTTTGCAAAATGATGCAATAGCAAGCAGGACTCTATGCCTCAAACAATGGTATAAAAGCATTTGGAGAACCAAGCTCAAGTGCTTGTTTAGAACTGAATCCACAAGAAAATATTAAGTCAGTTCACAGGCTAGGTATGGATTCCCACCCGTGCAAGGTTCCTGGGTCAACCACTTCCTGGCTGGTAGACAACAACCTCAGGCCATACCTGTGTGTTACACAATACACTGTCCTAGTGTCCTGTACCACCAGCCAACAAGTACACAGGAAACTGAACCAGAAGGCCTGCAGAAGGGACAGACCCATCACAATTGATCTAAATGAAAGAGGAGGATGCAAAGGTATCATTAAAAGGACAGATGCTGAATGGATTTCTCCACATACCTGGAGAATATCTTGCTTCTAAAGAAAGGCTAGAAGGTATCTGCCTTTACACTTACCCAGAGCAGACAAAACATAAGTATATGCTGCCATTTGTCTTCGGATGAACAAGTAGAAATTCACCATGGTACGAGGATTAAAGTCTAGCTGTAACATTAGGTTCTCATGATCTGCAATTTGTCAGAAGGTAGTAAGTCTTTGGCATCCGGTAACAATTTCTGTGGCCCAAACTGCCAAGAGGTGATTTTTGTGCATTCATTCTCTGATACATGCACATGAATAAGACTGAAGGACCCAGTCCCTTTATCAGTCATCTATCCCAGATATGAAAACAGATCCAGTTGTCTCAGGTGAGCAACTATCCAGCCAATGCACTGGTAAACACTTCTGTGAGCAGCAGAGAGTATGATGGGAAAGTTTATTTTTTGCAGTGCTGCCCATATAGTGCTAACTTCACCCTTTTAAATAAGAAAGGGTGGATAAAGTTGTTGAGTCCTCTTAGGGTGTACCAGTAACCTGTCTAGGTTGTGTGCTCTAAACCCTTTATCTCTGAGATAAAAGAGAACTAGTTCTCTGGTTCCCAGAGTTAATGAAGAGTCAACTTCCTTCAAGACAGATCTCTACAGGGTGGGTCTCCAAAAACAGTCATAATGGGAGATGGAGGAGAGGAGTGGGACTGCTAGAGAACAGAACTGCAAACTGGATCAAGTAACTTTTGGTAAGTGTCTAAAACCCAAAATGATCCCTTGCCAAGTTCGATGGAAGAGAGCTAACATGTTTCCAAAACTGAGAAATAGGAAGCAGACTAAAGCAACTGAATGGGATATTTGCACTCCTTGGAAATATTTTCAAGACTGCTGACAAGAAGACAATGAGGGGGTAAGAGCTGGCAATGACACCTGCAGTCTGTGCCAGTGATGACAGTCTCACCCCTTGTGTTCTTGTCCATGGAACAGATTCTGGGTGTGGAACACAAGAAAAGTGGCCACTACACCAAGTCAAACAGGCTAAGTAACCACAAAAGATTCAAAGCAGGCTAAGAATAGATCTGGATTCCTTAAATGTAGATAACTGTTGAGCATCCCTGCACTAAACACAAAGGAGAAGTCAGAAATTGCCAAACAGGACAGCAACAATCTGCATCCAGGTCTTCCTCAGCATCTATGGGATGAGACTCTGCAAAGGAGATCAGGTACCAGTGAGTTTGTCTCCATAGCTAGAGCAGCTGGTGACTCACCAAACAGCTGATACACACTTAACCAAAATCATTTAGGTACTTCAAACCTGCAGTATGAGAGCATGACTGCTCAGATTTCTCTTCACTGTTGAAAGAATAGGTAGGACCAGTTGAACAAAGAAAAAGTTAGAGGCTCTTAAGAATAATGTTTCTGTTATACTTGGAGAAAAATAATGTATCAAAAGATCTTGCCACAATCCAAAATGGTTTCATTAACTCTAGATATCATATTAACTTATAAACAACTATTAGCAGTTTAAGTTTTCTCCCTGAGTGTAACTTGGAGAACTTCAAATTTGATTTAAGAGATTTAGAAAGACCCTCAAACCCGCAAACCTGAGCATCCTAAAATCTTCATTTCCAGCCAGCAGTATCCACAAGGTGATGTGTACCAGCTTCCTTGTCATCCCTTCATTGTAAGGCTCAGTAAGGTTCAGAATAAAAAATGAAAGGCAATCAAAACTGTCTCCAGGGCTTATTGCTGCCACTCAGGATCCAGTACTCTAGAAAATAAGAGGGTGCCGTGCTATGCTGGATCAGTGCCTTCTCACCCCCTCCCTTTAAACTAAGGCACATTTTTCTTCAAAGATGATGTGTAACAGAGACCTTCTGGTGCTGCTGAGCTGCTGCAAAAGGTGGGGAATCCCTTGAAGAACACTTCTTAAAACAAATGGTAGGACTGAAGGACCTTGTAAAGCCCTTCAGGTTGACAAGGAGGTTGCGAAGGAAACCAAAACAACATCCTCATGTCCATCTTTTCATCAGTCCTTGAGAAGCATGATGTTTGGCACTTCAAGTGCTAGCTAATGCTAAAGACAGGGTGGCACACTCTGGGATGCCACTTCTGCTTATATACTAGGAAACAGCTAAGTTTTGGTGCGCACCTCAACCAGTTCCGAGGTTGATACACCCAATTGTTTCTAGCAGAAATACCTAAAATTTCAATTCCCTATCCCTGCAACTGGGGAGTTGGGATACAACCCAGCAAACTCAGTACCTTCCTATTCCCCCTCGCCTCCACCAAGGCTATATAAACACTAGTTACATAGCTCAGTTAAGCAGCATCATATGTTCCAAGTGACAGACAGATGGAAGATTATTTTTGAAGAAATCATCGGAAGATAAAAACTTTAACAGAGGAAGGCAAACATGAGAAGGCAAATACATGCTACAGGCCTTTTTAAACACTAAGCAGCACAGCATCGATATACACATAATCACTACAATTAATAGTAGCACATACAATTCTGAATAACAACTGCATAGTATTAATCAGGCAGACTGTCAGGTTTTGACTACAATGAACAGTTTTCAGCATACAAACATCACAGACTAGAATTAAATGAAAAATAAAAACTTCATACTGTATCACAAGAATATATTTGAAATCGTACCTCGGGTGCCAGATATTCTGGAGTACCACAGAATGTTTTCATAGTTGCTGCGTCTGTGATTCCTTCTTTGCAAAGTCCAAAATCTGTAATTTTTATGTGTCCATCTTTATCCAACATTAGATTTTCTAACTGTGTGTTGGGGAAAAAAATGTTCCCTTAGTATTTCTTAACAGGACAGGCTGATGCATTACATCAATTTTGTAAAAAAGATAGTGAGTTATTGGTTGCAATAGAATGTAATTTGTTTGCAATTTTTAAAAAAATCACAGCCCCTATTATATTACAGCATTTAATGGAGTTTACTGTTATACAGTTTAAATAATTATTTAAAACGTTAACACAGTTTACAATAGTAAATCCTAGGTCAATCAAAGTGTGACTTTTCATTCTGAAGTTTTACAAGTTTGGTTCATCTGCCGGAAAAAGAAAGCAAAGTAACTTTCTAAATATTCTCAAGATATAATCAAGTAATTCAAGGCTACAATCATGGCTGTAATTTGGTTCAGAGGTTTCCTTTGCTGTTAACACGACCTTCATTTACCAAGATGCATTTTACTTACTAAGCTGTCATGAAACAGCGTATAACCATAAATCCTTAAAATATCTGCATCTTCCACAACCTTTTCAATAACAGACAAAAGTGGAGGTAGACAGGCTACTGATAAAAACTAAACCAAGGTTTTTCTTCTATACTTTTAAAGGACACTATTCTTTAACTGAGCATCTGTACCTCTGCATGCTTTGCATTGCTTTTAAAATGCATGATTCTTGCTTTGAAACATGAAAACAGAATAGAGACTGTTATGAAGTATTTAAAGAACAGGAATAAAAACCACGGCAATATTTACTGTGGACTATCTCAAAAGTACTGCTAACATCACTTTCCCAAAAGCTTTTTATTAGCAATACTTTCAATACAGATAGAACTAAAACCAAGTAAAACAAATTTCTGAACAACTTTTCTCAACACAAAAAGGCTGAGTTTTTTCTAATTATAAGGCGTGTAGTGAAAACACCAACAAAGAACAATCATAATCCTGTCTTCCTAAGTCTGCACAAAGCTTGAAATACAATTCAAAGCTATATATTCACTCTTGGGTCTAACAGTGTCATACAATGTAAGCGACACTAGGAAAAGAAGATTAATAATGTCAAATTCCTCTTTCCTTATCATTTAGAATTTAAATAAAGAACCATGACCTATCATTCCTCGACCAGACAACTCCACATTTTTCCAAGATGTCACAGCATTTCATATTACTACAACAGATTCTGCTCTGAACAGGTAACCCAGTATTTTGTTTTCTGCCTTCTTGAGCAGAACTTGCCTAACACGGCCTCCTCCTTGGTTCCTGCCCACCAGTGCGTGTGTATAAGGGGAATTTCCCAGTACAAGAAAATAATAGCTTGTCACAGAAATAAAACAAGTTTTGTCGTGGAACTGAAGAGGTTCCTCCCACGTAAGTTAGAAAATATTCCTGTTGAAAGCAGAGGTTATTTTCCACAGGACATGGTCCTACTGTGTCACGGAGTACCTGGAGCTTCAGGCGACAGAAGACACAAAACTGCGCATGCAGGCAAATCTAAGACAAACTACATCCCAGTATTACGAACCTTTCCCAAGATATAAAAGACAAACTAACTTTCAAATTAAAGCTGAAATTCTTTTCCTATTGAAGTGTTCTGAATTGTTTTAAGTGTTTTCCAATCGTACAAGAACATAACTCTTTGGTGAGATAAACAGAATGCAGTTGCATTGTCCCAATTCCCCGTTTCCCCTGTTTGGAGACATTGAGAATTATGTTTGAGATTTGTGTTGAAATCCAAGCTAAGCTATAAGTACTGGGGGAAAAAAAGGATCAGAAGTTTAAATCCCCTTCAAGTGCTATCACTAAGGTATGCTTTTTTCTTTTTTAAATCAAGTTAAAGTCAAGCAACATACCCATCTATAGATTACTGCCTCAAACGGCTTCCTTTAGCATATACAGAACTTTAAAATGAACACAGATTTTTTTCCCCATTAACTCTGAATAGCGCAACTTTATAATTACTTCATGTTTGTCCCAAAAGTCTTTGTAAAAACAAAAATTTGATTACTTTTTTTTTTTTCCTTTCCTTTTTTTTTACCTTGAGATCACGGTACACAATCTTCCCCGAATGCAGATAGTCCAGGGCAGAGACAATTTCTGCACCGTAGAAGCGTGTGCGGTCCTCTGAGAACACCCGCTCTCTCGACAAATGGAAAAACAGCTGCAGGGTAAACAGCAGGGACAGGATTGTAATAATTACTGATTTAGTGGGGGAAATTAACACAAACATAAAACACCTCTCATCACCATATTGTGATGATAGATAGTGTACTCTCAGCGGACGCTCAGCACTCTTAGACAGCAGCTGGCTTATCTTTTCCAGGTTTCCAAAGGGAGAAAGCGAGCTGTTAAATCAGCGTTTTAATCAATATACCAATCTTGTTTAAGGCATTCTGCTTGCTACTCATTTAACCTTCAGTTACCAGAGGGAAAAAAAAAAAAAAGGATGCAGCAACATCATTCCATACTTCTCCCTCCACCACTTCCTCAGATTTTTATTTTAAGCCACTGAGAAATATCAGTAAGATACCCAGATTCTGGTTTGGCTTTAAGTTTTTCAGTAATTTAGTAACTTTTCTTTGAACTGAGAAAAGTCTGGTTCTTCAGTAGACTTTGACGGAGCAGGTGAACAGGCGCTTTACAAAACCAGCATATCCGTACTGCTAGCAATATTACTGGAAAAAGCAAACCAACAACTGCTTAGGGCTTACAAAAACAACTCTATGTACTTATGTATTTCTTCACTACAACGAAAACATCTCCTTGGGGTTTCTGTTGCTTCTTTAATACTTTATAAGTAACAGCACTTTGCAGACACTTCTTCAACTTAAGCCTTTCCATGACAAACATTACGTATTGCCAGTAACTTCAGCTGCGATGACAAAATGTAATTTGACATTCTGTAAGGTTGCCAGCATCTTACTGGATAAAACATCACCCTGAGAACCTGCAACACCTAAAAAGGCAGAATTTCGCTATTTAATTGAAATGCTTTCTAAAATGGCTAGTTTTATTTACAAGAAAGCTTGGGAAAGTCCTTAAACAAAGACAAATGTATGTGTTTCTGTGTTCTGCCTGCCTTACTTCTTCAAGTTACCTTCAGTTAGTTTCTGGTTTTACCACCAAGTGCTATCAAGAAACAGAAATTAAAAAAAGATGTGATCACTTTTAAATTAAATGTAGACAAGGAAACCCATAACAACAACATAGGTTGTTTTTTTTACTTCCACTGCTAAAATTATCAAGTAGATAAGGATATTTAAATGGCAGAATAGGTACAGAAAAAAGACTAAAACTGCCAACCAAAAAACCACTAATGTGCTAATCTGTCATTACCACACTCTACTTTACACACCTGGAGGAAATCCACTGCTCACACAGCACAGAACAGTGTAAGAATTACTGCAGCTATTTTCAGCGTGTGGACTTTTCAAAATGTACTTAGAAAGTTAATCCTATAAGCAACTAGAAATGAACTTTTTTCCTGACAGTTGTACTTCAAAAAACTCTGAATTACTTTCTTCTGAAGCTAAACAAAGTTACCAATAAACTGAGTCTTTTGGCAGCATATATTTGTATGAGCAGAGAATTCACAGAAAACAGAAACTGCAGTACGATTTAACGGCAATGTTTCATTTTTGTCCATTGTATCTGCATTTCCCCTTCAATTTCTTTTTAAATTCCCAAGACACTCTATATAAAAATGAAATATCTGCATGACAAGAAGGATCATTATTTTGTAGGTATTTTAATTGCTCCAGCTGCTGTTTCCCTCTTTAAGAATCAATGACATCATGGATGACATCAGCCCTCCCTGCAGTGACCCGCACTATGTCCCGACTACTGTTTTACTGCCGCCGCCAGCAGAAGACCCACACAGACTATGCAGCTAAGTCAGCCTTCATCAAGTGCCTCACGTATTATAAGATTGGGAAAAGAATAAATATATTTCTCAATTTGTAGAGTCTTTCTCACACATTTTTGCAAGGCTTAAATGGGAAACAAACGCCGCTAAGGAGATCTTCATCCAAATAAAGCAAAATACAAAATTCATGTAATTTATCCATTTGTGTCTGTTTTGGGGTCTCTCTCATGAATAATGAGCTAATGTTACTAATTTTTCAGAGTTTTATTTGTTTTGGTGGACTCAAAGTAATTAGAAATAAAGGCCAACTTTCAGATAAGTTTTTAATGTGTACAAATAGCTTTACACATTCCAAAAATGTATAATATAGCCTTCAGTTAGCCCTACATTAATATCTATGCAAAAGGACTATTGCAATTTTCTGTATGAAAGAGACTAATCCAGCAGCTGAGCAGCAAAGTCTCAAAATTCTAAAACCTCAGGACACTTGTCAGCAACAGATGTGTTCACTTCTTTAAAAAAAAAGTGTCCCAACTTGAGTCTGAGAGTTGATAACCTGACAAGTTAACATAACAAAAAATTACTTTCTGTAGTGTTTATTTCCAATAAAATATTCTTGATACTTATTAAAAAATACTAACTTTGAAGTAAAATGATCAGCTAGAAACAACTAGCAACAGTTCTGTGTTTGCCAAAGTGACTGAGTTCCCAAGTTGGTTAATTTTAATGTTATATACGACACTATAGTCACTATTCGTAAGCATTCTTCATATTATAGCGCCTAGCAGAGTTGTCATCAAATCATACTTGCTAGTTTTGAAGAATGTACATTCAGATATAAAAAGGTATGTTAAAAGTGAATTCCTACACTCAGATCTGTGCTAAAGATACTAAAGCAAACTCCAAAACTATAATAGAAATCTAATCTAATTCAGTGAGATCACAGCATTATTCTAGCTAATTATTCAGTTGGTTCTCTATTTCGGAATAATTACACCACCAGGCTCTATTTACAATTGTCAGAACATGAAGATTAGATTTATTAAGTCAGAGAAGGAAAATAAGAAATCTGCTGGAAGGTTATGAAAAAAGCTTCCAGCATTTCCACTATTTATTGATTTACAGTTATTAAGTATGTGCTATAAAGTCACTGGAATTGCAACAGAAATAGCTTTGGCACAAAGCAAGCCATTTTGCACATAACATTTTTGATGGCATGCATGAGGGTGATATAGTTACAGTGAGGAGTGGAGCCATAAATTTCCTGGTATGTCTTTATTTAAAAACTAAACAACAATGTTGCCACGGGGTTTTTTCCCCTAATAAAAATTTTGATGGAAAAATTTTAATAAATAAAAGCAAAGATCAAACATAAAAGTATATTCAACTTCCAGCCATGCCAGTGACCCATTTAGCAGGTTGGAAGTTGTACGACTGGCTCTTGCTGTTGTATATAGGGTTTGCTCAGCTCTGCAGTTAAACACATTTCACATTTGCCTGTTGATTTGACTCTTTTGCAAAGCATTTGCAGTAGCAGCCTTGAAATTTTGAATTGTCTATTTTTTCAGACTTTATACTGCTTCTGGGCACATTCTATACCCAAAGAAATATAGCATCCTTATCATGGACTATCCTAATTTTAGGCTAAGGAATATTCTCTCATTTGTTTTCAGAGTTTAGGAAAGCAAAACGGGACACTGAGATAAAAATAAGGAAGTTTATAACAATATTCAGTTATATTTCATTAGGTAGGCTGTAAATCCTCTGCCTTTTTTTCTAGACAGTAATAGCACTTGTTCAATTACAACAAACCATTTAGTTCTCTCTTGGTTAATGAACTGAAGTAAGAGCTGTGGAAAAAAAAAATGCCAAGAGGAACAGAGATTCAGAATTCTGGTGTGGAGAAACCATCTGAACAAATTTTAGAGTATAATGTTATTATTCAGATAATTATCAATTAACTTTGTTACAAAGTACAGAATTTGGAATTATCCTGAAAGTGCAAAGCAAGGAAGTTAATCAATTTATTAGTCAGCTGCATCACTGTACTCGGCAGAGTAATGTATGTAATAGATCTCATTCCTAAAGTTTTTCAACTTTTAAAGCAAAATACCACAAATGAAAAATGGGAAGCATACACTCCAAAAGTATTCCCCAACAATAAAGAACTATTCTTAGAACATAATTTTTTTATACCACAGTTTATACCATTCTGCATGTCTCTGAAGTTGGGGAACTCTGTAATGTAGTCACACAGGACTCAAAATTATATGGGTTACAAAAGGAAAAGTAAATCAGTACTAGCAGGGAAATCATCAATACAGCCTTATGCATTTTTTTCAAAATGTTCATAGGACAAGGACAGCAAAAAACGTACAAAAATGAAAAGGTCTTCCTTTATTTAAAGCAGGCCTCCTTTCACCTGTAAGTACTGATAGTTGTACTTATTTAAAAATATCTATGTGAATATTCTAGATTTTGAACCAAGGTAAAGAACACAGTTTATCGTGTGATGCTGCAAATACTTTTTTTACCTCACACTCACAAAATATGCCATTTCAAAGTCTTGATAATGGAATTCGGTCATCTCAACTAAGCCAGATGAGTATTTTTTTCTAAAATTAAATTTCTATATCTTAATGCTAGTCTAACAACTAGCACTGTTGTGTCATCAACACCTAGTCTAGGTGATCCTGCTCTAGCAGGGGGGTTGGACTAGATTATCTTTCAAGGTCCCTTCCAAATCCTAATATTCTGTGATTCTGTGTAATGATGCTTTAATGTAATCACTTCAGTATATTGAAAGTATTGAGAAGTGATCACAATGTTAGAAGTATCCTTCCAGCTCTGCACTTCAATATAGTTTATGATCAATAGACATTGCCAAACATTTCATCCAGAGTCGAGCAGCAACACTAAAAAAAGAAGAAGTTAAGCTTTCAGTCCACAACAAATATTTCTAGATTGGATGCTCAGGCTGCAGAAAATTAACTGTAAAAGTTGTCAGTATTCAAAAAAAAAACCATATTCAATATTTCCATCTGAATAATCTGCTCAAAAAAAACCTCTAAAGTTTTGTTTTAATAAATTTAGCTACAGAATACACTTTTTTAAAAAAAAGAAGTCAAAAGATAATTCAATACGATAATACTTTGTGCACTGTGAAAAAGCACACACATGGACCAGTAAAACTGATGGAGTTGAATTTTCATTATGACATGTTCCTTTATTAACTGAGCCAATTAATTTACATAGGTAAGGTAAGGCAAAGGGAAATTGCTGCTATTCTGGCAGGATATTAAATTCAACAGGGATCTAGATTTTTAACAGGTACAGAAGATTCTTGTTTAGAGTCATTTTAACACAATTTCTTCTCCTCCAGAATGAAATTCACCAACTTCTTCCTTGACTGTTTTCCTTCCTAACCATAGGAAGAAGAACTGAAGACTTTGAGTGCACTTTTATTATTGTAGTAGGGTAATGTGCTCCTGACAGACATAATCCATGCAAATTCCCCAACAATTGACTCAGGCACAACAATTTAACTAAAAAGAAACCTTTAATCTAAAGGAATTTTAAATAGAAACACACTAGAGGTAGTACAGCTGTGGAGAGAATCAAAAGTGACACATTACTGCTACAATTTCCCACTGGAAGGATATAATTAGAAGATGAATTTTCAACACCTCCAACAGTGAGAAACCATTGTAAGGAAATGGAACTTCCTTGGAACATGGAGAGAAGAGTGGAGGGAAGTAGCAAAAGCAAAAGGTCCGCATACTGCATATGAGATATGCTTACAAATGGCTACAATGCTGGCTAAGCTTTATGCGACTTACTTTCAGTAGCTCTGAGTTAATAACAAGGCTAATTTTACAGATATAAAGTTCTTTGTATTTCTTAGCAGACAGTGACTAAAGTCTGAAATTAGTAGGAAAATGTGATAAGATTTTCCTCTTAAAAAGGAGAGTTTGTCCAACCTGCTATTCCTGATCTCTAGTCAAAGAGAAGCACATATAGAAATCAAGAGAGTTGCTTCAAAGAAAACTGCCTACTCTGAAAGGCCATTATTTCCCACTGTGGCAAAAATTTATGGTTAACTTCACTGAATTAGGGGACCATGAGCAACGCTTACAAACAAGAGCATCACATCTGGAAAGAAGCGACTCGCTCTTTGCAACCATTCAAATCCCAGTAAGCAAAAGCAGGCTGCCACCACAAAACCCATGACACAGGGCATATATTTATACATTTATATATATATAAGGCATCTCTTTTTAAAACTCATTGTAGATATTGGTGATGTAAGTTCAATTTCAAATAACCAGCTGAGTGTACAAGCTGTTATCCTATTACTGCTGAGGGAGACTTTTGTGTCTAGTTCAACTAGCCAAAATGGTTCGGTGCCTGTGATTTCCAGAACTGGATTTATACATATTTCTGAATATAAGGAATTTTTTTTTACAGTGAGGGTGGTGAAACACTGGAGGTTGCCCAGACAGGTGGTAGACGCCACATCCCTAGAAACAATCAAGGTCAGGTTGGACGGGGATCTGAGCAACCTGACTTGGTTGACAGCGTTCAAAAATACGTAGAAGTGGCACCTGGGGATATCGTTTAGTGGGAATAATGGTGGTGTGTTGACAGTTGGACTTGATGATCTTAGAGGTCTTTTCCAACCTCAAAGATTCTGTGATTCTATGTCCCTGCTCACTGTAGGTGGGTTGGACTAGATGACCTCTAAAGGTCCCTCTCAACCCAAACCATTCTCTGATTAATGTTGTGTAAAACAAGCCATTTCCCCATATGAGAACCCTACAGCACCATCTTTAGCCAGGCTGGTAGAGGACAGCCATGGGCAAGTTAGGATGTAAATGGACCTCAGGCTGGACCCAGAAATCACCAGGGCAATGAATGCAAGACAGGCACTCTGGGTGTGCTCAGGTATTGGGATTAGAGTTGAAGACAGTTTTATTGTAGGAGTAACACGGGAAAAGGACACTGCAAAACATGGCATCATGGTGCAACAATTCCTGAATTAACAGTTTTCTAATAAAAAAAAGATAGTCGAAACACTAAGACCTTTAAGGTTGTTATGCAGCACATAGTGGACAAAATAAGGAAAAATTCCTAGTCCATGTTATAACAGGATACAGTCTGAATAGCAAACAGCACCAAAAAGATAGATAAAAGCCCTCCTCTTAAATTGCAATTCTCTAATTCCATTTGACAGATCCAGTTTTGGATACACCATCCTTCAGTAAACACCTGGAAGACAGCAACAGATCAAAGGCTAACAACACTGTAAGAGCTTTAGCACTTAGGTTGAAATTTCCAGAGAACACAGCAACGGAAGGGGACAGAAGTAATGAAAAAAATGAACACTCCATTCTCTTCTCATAGGGATTTGCAATGGCTATGTCAAAGAAGAGAGCACATATTGCATGTTAGGACAAAAGCAAGACTAGTCAACATTGGGTTTGCTTGGTTGCACTAGATTATGACCGTTTCATCCCAGAACATGCTATCATATGCTCAAAGAAAAAACAATAAACAAGCTACTTGTAATTATTTCTCCAGCATGAAATTATCTTTCAAGATAACAACAGTGTATTTTTTCAAGAACAGGAACTACTTTTGACAGCATAGTTATAAAACATGTCTACATTTCTTTAAATAAAATAATTTTAAAATTAAATAAATCCCTTCAAAGATACTAGAAAGCAAGAAAGACAAGAAGAAATTTTACAGTGTGACCCAGTGATAGCACTACCATTACAAGTGCAGAACATCTTTTTTAAACTTACCTCTCCTCCGTTAACATACTCCATCACAAAACACAAACGATCCTTTGTCTGGAAGGAATATTTCAAGGACTTGCAAAGAAAACAGCAAAACCAAACCAATTATCATCGTGTATTGACCCAATTTCTTGCACTTAAACTGTAACAAAATTTAATTTTATCCTCTTAAGCAGACAGTTCTGATTTGGTGTGAACTTTCAGAATAATTAGAAGTGTGACTTCCTATCTGGAGCTTGAGATGAAAACCTTCATCTCTTCCCTCATCTCTGCCACAGGGCCACTGATATGAAAACACAATGCTTGTTATAACAACATACTATGGTCACTAAAATACACAACTTCCTACTGGAATTCTTACTGCCATAAACAGTACCAGCTATTCACTTACCATATTTTATGATTTTCATCTCCACAATGACCATGAAAAGAGAGATTACTCTATTCTTTTAAATTTCTCCTAAATAAAATCTTAAAAGTGATCTTAACCTCCAGTCTGTTTTTGTTTCCAAAGCAGGGACTCTCCAGTTTCACAGACTATGCAATGTTAAAAACACTGGGTGCCCTACAAATATATTTATGTATCATTTTCAAATTGCAGCAAACATTATTATCTTAATTAAAAATTTTGACTTATCAACGTTGAATTGATTTTGCTTGGAAAAATTATACCAAAGAAAATCTACAGATGCAAGCTTGGCCTAAAAGAGGCAAAATGCAGCAAAACCACACATAACAAAAGCGTAAGGAGACTGACATGACTTAAATACTGCATGTCTCCTTAGTTGCATGATTTGATTGGAATTACACCTACTCCTGCTTACCTCGACACTCCTATTTAAGAAACTTTTGAAGATCTCACATCTCTTGACTTCATTGCCAAGAATATTTTGGCCAAGCAATGTAAATGCAATCCCCTATTTTATAACAGGTTTGTTTTAGACTATCTAAATGGGAAAGCTTCCATGTTATACTTCAATATTTTAATACCAAAAAAAGTAATTTTTCCTTATCTTAATATACAAGATGTTAATTATCTTTTGAACTCAATGATAAGATTTTCTAACACATTCTCAAAGGAGAGGAATCAGAAGTATTTCTACAGAAGCAAGTCAGTTGTAAAATTAAAACTATTAATCATAATTTGTCATGAATCTCAAAATTTTCATCTTCTTTTCAATATTTTCCTTCAATTAAATATTAACCATATGAAGACAAAGATACAGAAGTAGTGGGGATTGAGTTTTGTTGCTCTGTGGGCTACTTATGTTGAACAAATAGTTACTTTTATCATTTTATGGAATTCTTAATTAAGTTTTCTTGGCAAAAATTACTTACTTGACACTCTGTGAAACCAACAACTTTTATTAAAAAAGTGTTCATATACAAAAATCACAAAAATTGCAAAGTTACATTCTACAATTAAATTTGTTTTCAGTGCAGTTAAGCTTTACAAAATCATTAGAAACGTTATTTCTGAACTCTTAAATACATATTCTGATAAAGGATAACATAAGCGCCAGATAGCTACTGCTTTTTTACAAATCGTCATAAGAAAGTCTTCAAAATTTACTTGTTAATTATATTCACAATTGCTGAAATCATCAACAATTTCAACCCATCATGTTGAAAATTACCTGCTAATTCCTAATACTTACTGTTAAAAAAGGGTGTCTGGTGTTTTTCAATACTCTGCTTTCTGTAAGTGTATGAGCCACTTCATCCTGAGAAATAAAAAGCAGAAAAAGGAGGTCTGAAATAAGATATAAAATTGTTATCTAATTAATTATGAGGAAAAGGTTAACACTTTCGAAAGAAGAGAAAGCTACAGTACAGTTTTCAATAAATTACTGAATCTGAAAGAAACACGAAGAATAATTCAAGTTTTTTAATAAAAGATCTCAAAGTAAATTTAAGTTTGGCAAAATACCATTTAATGTATTTTAATTTATATTATTTTATTGCTTAAAAAGGAAGTCTTTATATTCAATGCATAGAGGGAAGAAATTTTAAGGAGTGTGTTTAGGAGGTTCGTATTTTGAACACATGGCCATTTCATGCAATTCGACATGCAACACGTGCTGGGATTCCCCACTTCCCAGGCTGCCAGGGACCAGACCTGAGTGTCACTGGGCTGGTTTTTCCATTTTTCTGTAGCGTTAAGCTACCTTTGAGTATTATATTATACAGAATTGAAGACTAACTTAGTGCGGCTCAAATTTCAACCATAATCCTTCAAAATTAAACATATTTAGTCAGAGTCTGCTTTATATTGCTACAAATAATACCAATATAACATTATTGTACTGCATATGCTTATCAGACAAAGCTCTGAAGATAAGGTATTATTAAACTAGAAAGTAAACAAAGACATCAGGAGTTTTAAATTAGACTTTAAAAATTGTCAAAATAGGAAGTTCAACAACAACAGAGTTAGTGGTAATAAATTATGAAGCCATTTATGTGAATAGCAGTGCAACCCTGAGTGGATACACTCCAACCTCACACTGGGAGGAAAACCAAAAACCACTTCAAGGAGAAAAACAAGCCTGAAGATAGATAGATAGATAGATAGACAGACAGACAGACAGATAGACAGACAGACAGACAGACAGACTGATAAACCTCAGTGGTTCACTAGATATGGGGCATAAAAAGTTGGCAACAGCTGAGTTGGAACTGCAGATCTGTTCTACCTAGTGACCGCATCTTCAGCATTGATCTTCAGTTAAATATTAGCAAGAAATCCCCACACCCTGACTGGCTTAGACAGCTAGGTTCAGGGTCAATTTTGCTTTTATTTTCTTTTGGGAGGAGTGGAAAAAAATGGTATTTGGTGACTGTAGGGA